CGAGAAGAAGCCAAACTATAAACTATAAATCAAATTCACACTCCTTCGAAAAAGAAGTTTTTGAAATTTATTTGTTTGTTTGTAATTTATTATTTATTACCATCCCACCACTCTATATCCCATCACCCTGCCCTATATCTCTCCCTCTATCATCCATCTCACTCACTATCTCTTCCTCCCTCCATCCTCCCTCTCTTCATCCCTCCATTCATTCATCTCTCCCTCTATCTCTCTCTTTATTACCCATCCATCCACCATCCCTTCCTCCCTCCACCAAATATCCCACCATCCCTCATCCATCCATTCATCTCTCCCTTCCTCCCTTCCTCCCTCATCCCTTCCTCCCTCCATCCTCCATCACTCACCATCCCTTTCCTCCCTCCACCAAATATCCCACCATCCCACACACTGACCCTTCCTCCCTCCATCCACCATCCATCCCTCTGTTCAACCCTCCCTCTATTCAACTTACAACCTCACCACTCACAACTTACCACCCACTACTGAGAAATATTGGTATTTAATAGAGGTATTTATTATATTACAGCATGATATGATATGGTGTGATATGGTATGGAAATCGCCATCGTATCGAAGTCATATCGAAGTTATATCCAAGTCATATCGAAGTCAATCCATATTCACATTATATCACATCCATCACACAACACAATACAACAAACACCAAAAAATACAAGCAAAGTAGTAGCTCTATTAATTTATCTAATGAAATTTATTTGATTATGTTCAATGAATCATCATGATCATCATCATCAACATCTTCATCATGAAAATGATCAAACAAGTAATGTAAGATGAGGTCCAATCAAAATCAAGAAAAAAAGAAAAAAGAAAAAAGAAAAAGTAGAAATTTGCAAGTTCGGCGAGAATATGCAACCTCACTTTATCTCCATCAAATCAAGTATCCCTCCTAAGTTCAAGTGCGCGCACGCAACTACATACCATAAATCGGCATGTGAAAACCATCATGGGTATATGAGAAATCAGAAATCAGATAAACCATCACCATCTTCAGCAAAAGGAAACCAATCCACCAGAGAAACGAGTGAGAAGATCAAGCCCATTTACCGAGAAGAGCCATGACAGCCGTGCCGATCAAAACACAGCAGATCATAAAGGTCAATCTCTTCTTGTCACGTGTCAAGTCTGGGTTGAACAAGAAATCACGAGCCAATAGCTCGACTAAACCAGTGTAAATGAGGATACCGGCAGAAATTGAATCAAGAACACCGGAAACAACGCTGGCGGTGAAGGAACCAGAGTTGTAGGTTGTGCGAAGACCAAGTCCGATGGCGATGGCAATTGGAGTGGTGAGACCATAGCCAGCACAGAGCAACCATGGCAGCCAAGAGAGACGCTTGGGGAAAGGAATGGCGGACATACGTGCACCGATACCTAGACCCTCGAAAGATTGATGAAAGACAAGAACAGGATATAAGGTAGTGAACTCATCGCCAGCAGTACCAAGGTTAAGACCGATGATGACAGAGTGAAAGATGACACCAAATTCGAGGATGAGGAAGGCTGCAATTTGTTGTTGGAAAGAACGTTCTTCAGCCATATCCGAGGTAATGGTGGTCTGCTCAACATCCTTCTCATTGGAAAAAGAGTTGGATGCTGGGCTGTTGTCCTTCATATCTTGTGCCGCTGTGATGTTATCGAAAAGTTGGGAATCTTGATCGCCAGAGTGAAGTTGATTATGAGTGAGAGTGGCGCGTCGAGCATGTCCACCTTCAGTGTTGCTACCGGGTTGATTGGTGACGACATCCTCAATGGAGGGACCATGTGCGAAGCCATACTTTCGGTCAACATATTGTTCGGCAGCGAAGTCCATCATAAAGATTGACATGACAGATAGCAAAACAATGGCTGGAGGCCAACTGTAATCAGCCCAGCTACCAGTCATTCCAACACAAGTGTTCGGTCCAATTTCACCATAGGCAGGATCGAGTAAACTGAGAATTGGTTAGATTCACTTTACCAAGGAAGAAGTTGTTAGGAAGTAGAAGAAACTTACTGAATGAAAGCTGTAGCAATGATAACACCAGCACCAAAGTAACGAGCGAAGAGGTAGACATAGATGTTGATCTTGACCCAAGTAACTCTAGCAGCAATAACGGGGAAGAAGGTAGCAGCTGAGGAGACAATCAAGATAACGAAGAGAGCAGAGATACGACTATCATGATATATCAGTACATGTAACCTAGAAGTTATAGAAGCGAAGAATCAACTTACGCGCCCAATCGACCATTGTACTCATTTTGACCAAGTTCAAGATAGCAAACAACAGCTGTTGGATCAACTGTGTCCAAATCAACCATATTAGGGTTGAAGTCAGTCATTTTGTTGACTGAGAATATGAAAGTAGTTGGAAGAGTAAATGTATCTCAATAGTAGTTGTGATGTTCTTCAAGAAACGAAAGTAGAATGGATCTTCTGTCAGTATCAAAGATCGACACTAACAACCTGCTTGAAGAATAAATGGAAGAAAGTTTGACAGAAAACGTTGTTGTGTGTTGTTATAAGTATTAAAAGAAAGTTCCAATAGATCTTCAAGAATCCGATAATCACTTATAAACCTCTCACACTCTCTCACTCTCTCTCTCTCTTTTTCAAATTGAGAACCTTGATAGTTAAGTATTTCACGTGAACGGGATATAAAGCACATTAACCCTTGAAAATAATAGAGAAATCTTTGATTATTACTTCCCCCTCCCCAGTCCTCAGCTGTTTATAACAGATTGGATTGTTGGTTGATTGAGATGAAAGGTGAATAAAACACCTTGTTGGATACCCTTTCCACTTCCAAGTAATCTTACTAAGATCCCAAGAAAATTATGTGGGAAATGTGGACGAAGTGGAAGAAGATGTAGAAGATATCGGATGATTGGATTGATTATTGGAGGGAGGATAGGTATTGGATTGAATAATTGGATTAAAATTTGATATGATTCGATGTGATGTGATATGGAGGATGGGTGGATGGATGGATGGATGGATTGGGGGTTGAAAAGGTGAAAAGTGGGAAGGGGTTTGTTTGAAAGATTAAAAGGTTTGAATAGAATAGGTATATATAATTATGAAATAGGAAGGAGTGATGAGTGGATAGATACTAGGTAGTAAGTATAGGTATAGGTATAGGTATAGGTATAGGTATAGGTATAGGTATAGGTATAGTATAGTATAGTATAGTATAGTATAATACACCTTGATGGGTTTTGTTGGGATATGATTTGTTTAATATATATTAATAGATGTAGATGATGGTCTTTAATGTAATTAAGCTCAAGATTTGATTTAATGAGAGGGGAGAGAAGAGGAGAGAGAGAGAGAGAGGAGAGGAGAGAAGAGGAGAGGAGAGAAGAGGATGGTATGAGATGAGATAAAATGAGAAGAGATGAGAATCAAATAGGAATATGAATAAATGCAGTGTAAATAGATACAGTATATAGGAAGGTACCTACGTATATACCTGTTTTCTTATCAACTCTTTTCTCGAGTATACAACAGGTAGTTAGGTAGTACTCGAATATGTAGTACTCGAACCACAGCTCCAGCTCCAATTCCAGCTCTAGTTCCAGCTCCAACTGTCTGTTCCACATCCACAACACCACTCTTCTCTCGTTCAAACCTTACGAACCATTCATCATATCACATCGCATCACATTGTGTATCATAATCATGCTGTACATCCATCCTAGAGAATAGAGAGAGAGAGACCAGAAAATAGAAAGAAAAGCTTCCGAATGGAAAAGTCCACAAAGTAGGTAAGTCACTTGAGTTACTTTTCGTGTTTTGTTATGTGCCTGCCTTATTACTATATATATTATATATGAATATACAATACAGCCTTGATAGTTGATACCCTACTCACTTGTGTTATGAATGAAGAAGTCAATAAAGGGGTGAATCCTTCTATATCCTTTATATCCTCTTTTTTCTTATAATAAAAACTCCGGATACTTATTTCCAAAGTTCCCCAATCAATACGATACTATCTCATTTCATTTCATTGATTCATTCTTTCTTTCATCATCATTCTCAAATCTCAAATCTCAATAACTTGTCTGTCTGTCCGTTTATCTCTCCGTATTCAATCATCTATGCATAATGTGGTAAACAAACGTGTTTGCAGATTTCACTTTGCTTGCTTGCTAATACTGGTACAAATACAATGTGGGGCTCTTCCAACTTTTAATGTTTGCAAGGCTGCCAAGCTAATGTGACAAGCATTAAGTATATCAACATCGAAGTAACTTCATCCGAGCGGGGGGGGGTTGCATAGATTTAACGACACACAACTTTTGGGGAGGTAACTTTTTGGAGAGGCGGGTGGCGACTTGATCGTATTTAATCGAGTATATGATAGAAGCCATGTTTTATCCATGATTAGGGATAAGGATGTGGATGTTTGTGAAGGGTGATATGGATGGATTCGGTGTGGACGGTGATGGGGATACATATCTACCTAGCTAGGTAGGTCCGATGAGAAGTGACGATGAGAATGAGAATGAGTAGTACAGTATAAGGATGAGGCTGAATGAATAAGGGCCTGTTTGGCTTGGTAGTGTACGCAAAAGTGTACCACCAAAATAATTTTTCACATTCCATTACATAAATAAAAATGTACACTTTTCAAAAATCCGTTTGGCTTAAATTGAAGAGTGCACACAAATCCATATACTTATAAATATATTATATAAATGAAATGTATTTGAAAAATATAAAAATTAAAGAATATAAACTTTCGCTAGTCTATCCGCTCTAATTTCCCAACATCATCTAATAATTTAATCTAATCCTACAATTATAATATTGCCATTATTGAAAAAAAGGAAAAAACGTAATAAAAAGCTTTTAATAGTGATTTCAATACTATCTACAACTATAACCACTATTTATTATAAACATAACTTTTATAAACATCTATAATATATCTCTAAAATATCTAGTACTCAATAAATACACGAATTAGTCTTTGAATATTCTAAAAGGATCAAAAACAATTTAGAGATTTCCTAAACTGGGTTTCTATTATTAAAAGATCAATTGATTAAGATAGTAAATATAGCAAGTATTCGATATATATCTATTATAGAACAATTTAATATATTCCTCTATATAGTTATTATCAATCTTTTGATATATCAGTTTGTAAAGCGATTTCAACGAAGTATTTAAACTATTAATAAAATCTATTATAAAGTTATAAGATAC